CCAGGCGCTCCCAAGCGCTCCCAAGCGCTCCCAGGCGCTTCCAGGCGCTCCCAAGCGTTCCCAAGCGCTCCCCAGCGCTCCCAAGCGTTCCCAGGCGCTCCCAAGCGCTCCCCGGTGCTTTCGGCACGCTCCAAGGCGCTCCCAATGCACCCAGGCGCATGGCGCTCCCAGGCGCTCTCAAGCGCTCCCGGCAAGCTCCCAGGCGCTCCCCGGCGCTCCCTGGCGCTCCCAAGCGCTCCCAGGTACTCCGAAGCGCTCCCTGCACGCTCCCAGGCGCTCCCAGCCTGCTCAGGCGCTCCCTCCGCGCTCCCATGCGCTTCCTGGCGCCTCCGAGCGCTCCAGGGCGCTCCGAAGCACTCCCAGGCGCTCCGGCGCGCTCCCAGGCGCTCCCGGCACGCTCCCAGCACGCTCCCAAGCGCTCCCAGGCGTCCCCATGCGCCCCCATGCGCTCCCAAGCTCCCACAGGTGCTCCCAAGAGCTCCCTGGCGCTCCCAAGCGCGCTTAAGCAGTCCAAGCGGTCCCATGGCGCTCCCAAGCGTTCCATGCATTCGCAAGCACTCGGCAGCGCTTCCTGAAGGCGCTTCCCGGCGCTTCCCCGCAATGCAGGTGCTGCCGCAGCCATGCGCGCGCATCGTAGCGAGGGGGTGCCAGACCCACCCCCTCGCGCTCCCTCTCCAGCCATGCGACATTCGCGCCGATGGCGGCTGCGTCGACATTGCACTCGCTTCAGCGGGGGTGACGCCAACGGTCCTGCCCAATGGACAACCCACGGCCCGCGCTCGCGGTGCACTCTGCGTGTCCTGTCACGCTTCCAGACGCTCCCACGTGCTTCCATCCTGGGGAAACCTCGACGCGCTCTCTCAGCGCTCCCAGAAAGCTCTCCCAAGGTATTCCAAGAACTCTGTCATGGAGGTGCTGCAGCAGCCATGCACGCGCATCGTAGCGAGGGGGTGCCACACCCACCCCCTCGCGCTCCCCATTCCAGCCACGCGAAATTCGCGCCGAGGGCGGCAGCGGCGACAATGCAATCGCTTCAGCGGGGGTGACGCCAACGGTCAAGCCCAACGGGCAATTCACGGCTCGCGCTCGCGGTGCACTCTGCGTGTCCTGTCGCGCTCCCAGGCGCTCCCACGTGCTTCCATCCTGGGGAAAGGTCGAGGCGCTCCCCCAGCGCTCCCAGAGAGCTCCCCCAAGGCATTCCAGGGGGTCTGCCATGGACGTGCTGCCGCAGCTATGCGCGCGCATCGTAGCGAGGGGGTGCCACACCCACCCCCTCGCGCTCCTCCTCCTGCCTGCTGCCGCAGCCATGCGCGCGCATCGTAGCGAGGGGGTGCCAGACCCACCCCCTCGCGCTCCCTCTCCAGCCTGCGACATTCGCGCCGAAGGCGGCTGCGTCGACAATGCAATCGCTTCAGCGGGGGCGACGCCAACGGTCCTGCCCAATGGACAACCCACGGCCCGCACTCGCGGTGCACTCTGCGTGTACTGTCACGCTCCCAGACGCTCCCGCGTGCTTCCATCCTGGGAAACCTCGAGGCGCTCTCTCAGCGCTCCCAGAAAGCTCCCCCAAGGCATTCCAAGATCTGCCATGGAGGTGCTGCAGCAGCCATGCTCGCGCATCGTAGCGAGGGGGTGCCACACCCACCGCCCTCGCGCTCCTTTCCAGACATGGGCGTGAAGCGGCCGAAGGCGTCTGCGTCGACATTGCAATCGTCTTTCAGCAGGGGCGAGCCAAACGGGTCTTGCCAGGGGAATTCACGGTCGCGCTCCGGTTTCATTTGCGTGTCTGTCGCGCTCCCAGACGCTCCACGTGCTCCACGTTGGGGAAAGGTCGAGGCGGCCCCAGCGCTCCAGCGGAGCATCCCCCAAGCATTCAGGGGGTCGCTGCCATAGGACGTGCTGCGCCGCATGCGCGCGGCATGCATTCGAGGTGGTGCCAGACCCACCCCCTCGCGCTCCTCCTCCCCCTTCCGAAGCCCGCGTCGACAGCGTCTGCGTCGATGATTGCAATCGCTTCTGCGGGGGCGACCTCAAAGCAAAACCCAAAGCCGCGGGCGAAAACACTGCCGTGCGCGTCGCCGTCAGCGAGGAGCCCGACGGCGCGGCTACTCGCTCGAGGCCATCGGGGGCCCATGGGGTTGCCGCGCCAGCGCCCTCGCAGCGCTGCTTTCCAACGCCGAAGCACATGCGGACCCCTGTGGATGTGCTGCGCCAGCGGCAGCCGTCTACGACGGCGGCTGCAAGGGCAGCCAGTCCAACGGCAAAAGCCAATGCAGGAGGCCAGCTGGAACCAGGGGCAATGCTGCGTCTGCGACAGGCCAACGCCGTAACTCAAAACCTCATGCGGCGACGCCTGGCCTTGAGGCCTCTCCTGTGCCTTCTGATTGCAATGAACACCCGCAGGAGAAGAATCCGTCCTTCGGCAAAGCCATGCGCCAACTGGGAGCCAGCCGAATGCAGCTAAACCCACGGCAAAGGTTGTTGGCCATGCGACGACGCT